TTGCTGATTAACGTTAAAAATATATTAGCATAGCAATAAGGTTGCTGAATTTATTTTATATTCCATAATTTATTTCACCRTATATATTTCATGATTATTAATTTCAAAACGCAAGTATATGATTTTCCAGAAACAATGCAGTTTTGAATATCTTTATAGCAAACATTTTGCATGTGCCTTAATTATATTAAATTTCCAGAGGTGAAATGCTAGATCAGAAGCTTCAATATGTATTGTCAAATTGGAGAATTTGTTTCTCCAAACCCACAATAGTGAGATACTAATTTCAGAAGTATTTTAATTTGCAATTCTCTGGTAACTCATAATATATTTACCTGCTTTCTTTTTTCCTGTTCACATTCTTTATTTAGTTTTCTATATGGGGTATCCTTCATTTTCTTACTAATTATTATGAGTTTGTTATATTTTATGAGTTTGTTATATTTTAAGTGCTCCACCTTTTATCTTACTCAGTTCAGTATTTGTAATCAATCACTTAAATGAAAGAATTGAAGCACAGTGTTTGGATTTGTGATTGGCATTACATGGCATTACATGGGAAGGTATAATATTAAATTTCAGGGAGATCTCCCATTGATGAGTCAAAATTAAGRTAAACTTGGCTAGTAATCAAGATGTACTTTGAATTTGTCTTAAAATAATATGCCTTGAGTAATAACAACAGTTACTAAATACCTGCTGTATTCCAATTAATATGCTAGCCTTTTTTTTCATATAAACTCCAATTTTCACAGCATATCTACAAAACGATGTTCATTAATAAATAAGAAATCTGAGACTGGAACGGTTTCGTTATATAAATTCAAGATGGCAGAGCCAGGATTCAAAATCATGTCATTTGTTCCTGTTGGCCATGCTCTTCACACTATGCCTTGGACATATACAACATTTGGGAAATAATGATTGTGAAAAGGGTCAGCAAGGCAATGTGAGGACCAGAAAGCAAATCCGTTTTCCATAACAAAGCTGGATAAGGGAAGTAATCAAACATTTTTATTTTCTTTAGTTCAAATAGAAAATATTGCTTAAATATCTGGCCACCACACTTTAAAAGGGTACCATTTTTGGATGTGGCCAGTGATGGAATGCTTGTGTAGCATGTGCAAGGCCCTGGGTTTCATCCCCCCCAAAAAAAAAGAAAAAGAAAAGGGCAATGGGATACCCTTTCATGTCCCTCATCATCAAGAAGTGGCTAAAGATGAGTGTTTGTGGAAAACACTTTGGAAAGCCAACCTCAAGTTGACCATCCCAGCAATATGGTATCTGCAAAATTTTGAAAACTCTAAATTCTTCTATGGATTTGTTACTGCCCCAGGCTAGCTTCCATGTTTGCTTCATTAAGTTGTCTTTTTGATGTGGTTATATAAAATAGATTTAATTGGTATAGTTGGTTTTATTACATTGTTGACATTAAAAATGTTTCCTAACCATAACAGTAAAGATCATAAATAATAAAATATGTGACTTTTTGCTAACAGAAAAGGCAATCTATAATTTTTTAAAATAGAAATAAATCAATTTTGAGACTTAGAATATAGATCTAAGGATAGCTACTCTTTGAAACAGCTAATTTCAGATAAATTAAGTTTTCATGAATTGTGAATTGATGAACACTGAAATATYGGAAGCAGACTGTGGGCATCTGCAGGCAGGCTGAAGAGCACTGAGCTTCCACCTACTGTGTGGTTCCAGGGAGAACATGTGCAAGGCGCAGTAGCTGCTCAGTTTGAGATCTGTTTTATTCGGCCTTTTTTTTTTTTTTTTAATTCTACTATGGAGGGTTTTTAAAACATTTAACATGATTTTATGTGAACTAAAAGTTGGTGGTTCTCTCTGTAGGCTGCCAGAAGCCAGAGAATWGATAAGAGGGACAGCTAAAAAGGCTCAGCATGAAGATCTTTGCAGCAAATCCAGTTTTGTCCCTGTGGCAGCACATTTTGTTGGCATGAATTCGCCATTTCCTGGTGCCACAGCTTTCCTTTGCTTTTAAATATTTGTTTTCATTGGGTTCCTACTCACCAACCTGAAAAGGGTGTTCTGATGATTGGCTGATACTGTTATCCTGATGGACTGTCAACCAGCCATTAAATTAGCCAATCAGATTACTATGTTCTGCTTAAAAAATTGTCAAAAGAGACTAAAGGAAAGTTCATAAATTCAGCTTTTCTGTTACATAGGTTGGTTGGTTTAATTATTTGGTGGTGTTGGGAATTAAATCCAGGGCCTCACACATGCTAGGCAAGTGCACTGCCACTGAGCCACACCCTAACTCTCTGTTATATAGGTTTTTATATCTTATTGATAATTTGTATTTGTTGGGATTATTTACCAACAGGGAAGAAGGAATTAATATATTTATCTGGGATTAAATGGATAACTATTTGTAGAGTGATAAAACTTTTTGGAGATTCTAGAGTAGCTTTATATTTATTGCTCACTAGCTTTTAACTGGGAGGGCAGAATAACTACCTGTGGCTATTTTTGWTTTGGGCTGCATTTAAGTCAACTTTCTTAATTCTGTGAATTTCATATTTTGACTAGGGAAAAGCCAAACTAGAAATGCTTTGATTATTTCACATAACATTTATAAAGCAAGGAAAACTTTTCTGTATAACAAGCATTTTACAGTTTGGATTATCACTTGAAATAATTTTTCTACATATCATAAAATCATTTATTACAAAAAGACATAAGAGCAATGTTGATATGCCAACTACTGCCGAATGGTATTTGCCACTGTCCTTAAACCACTCTGTTCATTCCCTTACAGTTCATATCTAAAACACTAAGCAAGCAAGTAGACTCTACCTTAATAATGAATCCTAGAAACAACCTCTTCTCACTACTTTTCACCCCAGTTAAAGTATAGGGGTAAAGAACAAAAATTCTGGAATCAACTCTGGGTTTGAACTCTGGATCTGCTGCTTACTAGCCTTGAGCTTTTCAGCAAGTTAATCTTTGCCTCAGGTATCTCGTCTATTAAAAATGAAGAAACAGTAGTGACCAGTGTTCTCTGCCKTATGTACAGGTTTTGAGCAGTGGCTGATTCATAGTGAGTACTTCATGAGTATTAGCAGTTATTGTCACCATTATCATCCTTAGTTATTACCACAGCCGAAATCTACTCTGCCATTTCATGTGACCTTTCTAATATAAACATCAGATCATGTAACTCCCTGCTGAAAAGCCTCTAGCATTTTTTATTTAACTCCACACAAATTCCCAAGTCCTCACTCTAGTCAGTGTCCTTCGTGACTTGACTCTGTGGGTCCTTGGCCTCATCCTCTGTCTTTCTCCCTCTAGACCTTTGTTAAAAAGGCCTTGTTCTTGATGGTACTCTTCGCTGCCCTGTGCTACGTGACCCTGATGGTTTTAATTGCTTTTTCCACTTTTTTCCTAGCACTATGTACAATTAGAGTATGAACTCCAGAAGGACAGGGCCTAGGACAGTGCCTAGGACCTAGTAGTTGCTGTATGCATTTGTTGAGTGTATAAACAAATGAAACAGAATTTCATTGCCACTTCTGATGCTTTTGTGCTTTTAAATATATAAAACCAAGAGCTTATGTAAATACTGTCAATATAAATTCAGTTAAAACCATCAAAAGTTTCTCTACAAGTTTATGAAAATGGCATAGTAAAAGGTAACAGTGAAGTGGGATAAGATTGGCTTTTCTGAAATTGCTTTCCCATGTATAAAACACAGGCAGGACCACGTCTTGTTGGGGCCCTAGGGCTCTGAGGATTTGCCTCATCAAAGGAAGAAGAAAATGGGCATAACTGGGAGCCTGATGATAAATTGACAAGGTTTATGAACACCAAGACTTGAGCCTCATAAAAACAAAGACAGGGTCTGTGTGCTCACCACTATCAGGGCTGTTGCTCAGCACAGTGGCCATTGCAGAATGTATTAGTAGCTATCGTTGGATTATTTTTTATTTCAAATGACAATACATTATTTTGTGATAACAGGTGAAAAACAAGTTGAAATTTTAGCAAATGGAGTCTGTTGTTTTTTCATGATGGTCTTTATTGACTACCCCATAATAGATCAGCTTAAAACACTTCATACTAAAATGGCCAGTTTATTCAACCTTTCTTCAATACCTCATGAATTTTCTATTAATTACTTAAAATATAAAACAAAACGTATGTGATACAATTTTCTTTTTTAAATTTTTTTCTATTTTTGCATTTAAAGTAAGACCTTTTTAGAATCTTACTTCTGGTTAGAGAATACTTTTTATCAGGAAATTATCCTAAGGAAGGTATTCAAGATATAATAATAACAATAATGTTGAGACAAGTTTGACACTACAGTAGGTCATCAGTTGAATTTTAAATTTGACAGACCTGCTTGAAGTTGATAGGGAAAGTTTTTCTGTTTTTTTTTTTTTTTATTTTTGGTTTGCTTGTTTTTAAAGTATTTTTTAGTTGTAATTGGACACAATACCTTTATTTTATTTATTTTTATGTGATGCTGAGGATTGAACCCAGTGCCTTGCATGTGCTATGCAAGTGCTTTACCACTGAGCCACAACCGTATCCTGGGAAAGTTTTACTGAGATTTAGAAATAATTTTAGTTGAGATAGATTAAAGTAATGTAATATTAAGATACTGAATTACTGACTCTGCAGGATTGTGTCAGGAATGGAAATAGAACATCAGCTTTGCATTCCTGGAAAAAGCATGTAACCATATGTCTGAAAAAAATACAGGAATCATGTTATACAATTGTGTGAATCTTGTCCACAAGGTTTCAAACTGTTCCTGCCTGTACATTGCCTAATAAGGTTTTGAGTTTTGGTATGTTTTAATATTGGTCTTTCCAGAAAAAGTACTTCTTGACAGTCATTAAAATTCCATGGTATAAAAATATGTATATATAAAAAACATGCAATTATTAATAATGTGTACTTAAATCAGATACTATTTACTCAGATATTTATTTKACTTATGAATTTATCTTTCCTTTTAGGTAAAGAGGATGAATATCCAAAGAAACCTTTGGGGCAGCTTCCACCTGAATGTCATTCTACTGGCATTAATCACCTGAGCAATGGACAAAGAAGTGTTGGCAGGCCCAGTCCCCATATAAGCAGCAGAAGAGAAAGTGGATCATCGCCTTCCAAAAAGCATGAGCACTCACCCCACCATCAGAGTAGAACTGGTACTCCAGAAAGAGTCAGGCAGCTCCGGCAGAAGTCCGTGGATGAGGATAGTAAAAATCTTAATGAGGCAGCTTTTCAAAGAAAACTTGCATCAGGTCCACAAGACAATTCCGAGCAGTATAACCATGCAGCTGCTAACCAAAATAGYAATGCTACTTCAAATATCAGAAAGGAATTTATGCCCAAATGGAATAAACCCTCAGATACTTCAGCTATTGAAAGGACTGCCAAATATGCCATTGAAGGTAGATCGGTGCACCCTACACTTGGAGTCACCATCCCAAATTCTACTGATCCTCGGATATCAAACACAAGGCAAAAGATGAAGGTTTTGGATGCTGATGATGGGAAGCGAGGCTCCAATGCATCCCAGTATGATAACGTACCTGGGGGTGAGAATGAAAATGGAACTTCTGCTGAAGAAGCACTAGAAAGGGCTTACTCTCACAGTCCAAGGAACATTGTTTACTCTAACAGTCCACGAAAGCATGTTGAGCCAGGTTCTAGTCCATCAAAAGTATCCAACAAGTTTACTTTTAAAGTACAGCCTCCAGGCTATACAAGACATCAATCCCAGTTAGAAGGGGAAGATCGAGGGACTGTGCACCCACCTTCCTATAGCAACCCCCCTGTTTACCACGGAAATTCTCCAAGACACATCCCCACTGCTAACAGCAGCTTTGTACCTCCACAGATCAGCCCTGGGACTCAAATTCATCCTTCCCGAAGACCTTTMGGTTCTACTCTGTCAGTTGATATTTCTCCAGAGAAATCTTACAGCCGCCCAACACCTCTTGTACTACCATCCAGTCGAATAGAAGTCCTTCCTGTTGATATTGGTGCTGGGGGATACTCAGGCAATTCAGGGTCACCAAAGAATGGAAAATTCATTATTCCTCCAGTGGATTATTTGCCAGATAACAGAAAATGGTCAGAAATTAGTTATACATACAGACCTGAGATGCACGGACAATCATGGACCCGAGATGCTAACCGTAGCCACTTAAGCAATTTACCAAAATATTCAGCCTTTCAACATGTACCCTTTCAAGACCATAATCTCCCAGCAGTTTCAGTAGATAGTCCAGTGCGGTATAAAACTTCACCAGCTGTAGAAGATGCCAGTTCAGCTGGGTATCAGTATGCAGGGCCTTCACCTCCAGCATATCACTACAGAAAGCGGGAGGGGCTTTCTGTTCAAGAATCAGTATTGCTGTGAGAATATATGTATACTTGGAAAAAGACAAGAGAATAGAAACCATACGAAACCTGCATTGCTATGTTTGTAATTGCCAAAGCAGTATTTTATACTCTTGGAAACAACTCGCAGAATTCTGATGTATATTAGTAATAAGAATATGTAGAAGTTTTCATCCTCCATGTAGATGCTGCTTAAGATGAGCATTTTAAATTGCATCATCACTGAACCTGTTAAAGAATTTAACCTGGAAACATAGCRATAGCATTTAGGGGTACACGCACAATAATGATCCTTTACTCACTTTCATTTATATCTTTCTCCAAAAACTGAACATTTTTATTCTTTTGGCCCATTCTGTTTTAGCTAATGTAAGCAAACCACTGAGAAACCCTAGAACAGATGTTTTTTTAAGGCTAAATATGTCTTTTAATAGGTATTATAGACACCTATACATACATATTTGAATACAGACCTGAAGAAAAAAAAACTTTTTTAAAAATGAATTTTAATCTAGATCCATAGTATAATATGATTTTTTTTTCTTGTCTTTTAGTCTAGTTCTACCACCCTCCCCCCATGTTTTTAACCTGGGACCTAAACTGACAAAATTAGAGTTTTCTCTGACTTTGTTAAKATAGTATCTCACAGAATGCTCATTGTTATCCTTCAATGGCTGCCATTTTCTTTCAATCTGAAAATTAAAGACATGGGAGAGAAAGGCTGACCACTTACTGGTGCTTAAAAATTGGAGCAGGTAGGTAAGTTTATGGCCAAAGGCACAGTGCTCCTTGTATCCATTTCCCCCAGATCATTCTTAAGTGCTTTTTTGCACCTGGCTCTGCTCTTTCTTTTGCAACACTCAGAGCATACTGTTCCTTGCCAGATACCAGGAATGCTATAGGAGAAGTTGCAACTTAGTGACCATGCAGCACTGGAGGAGCAAGGTGAAAGGCCTTTGAAGTTCWTTTGAAAGAAGTAATAATGGTCTGGTTACTTCTCAATTCTGACTCTTAAATTCTTGCAGGGCCTCACCTTGAAGGGCCCAAGGCAGTTGTTTACATGATCATTTTCTGACATTTTCTTTAAAGAATGTAATCAATGGATATTGCTGCAGTTATCAGGCCATTATGTTATTCATATTAAAATTGTAAAAAAGATGATTCTAACTATTAATAGGCATCTCAGATCTTGATCTTTTTAAAAAATATAGTGTGACTTTCAAACTTTCAAAACTATTTTTTCTTTTTCTGTGAAAAAAATTCAGGTTCATGGTTTAAAACAATCAGTGATATCTTTAAAAATATTCTATTACACTACAATTACCGAAAACTGACAAAATTTTGGGCACTCCAAGAAAATAGAACTTTGTTTTTAATTGGAGTACTTGTTTTCAACATTATTGTGCTCATATTAGAAAACAAAAAGTTAGAAAGTCTAACATAGATGGCTCTTCCTGTTGCAGGTTGGGGCTTTAAGCTTTTGAGGTACAAAAGTGTGTCTTAAAATGCAAATAACATTTGTTTAGCTAGTGAATGTGACAATATTTTTATGTATATAATGAGTCTAATGTAATTTTAATCAACTTGGTAATGATGTTTTTAAATGGCAAAACAAATGCAGTGTATTAAAGCTGAACACTACACTGAAGCTCAAACTCCTGATAAAATAACAGGTTCTTGATTTAGATCATGTGGAAGCTGAGAAATAAATGTGTATAAAAATGTGCTGAGGATAGTAATTCAAATTTTTAAACTATGATTCTGTGACTTGTAATGAACCAAGCTGTACAATTTAGTTTATGAGAGCACCCAAGCTGCTCATATATATATATATCAACAGTGGTAAATACTGTAGAGTTTATATATATATGCAAAAATATATATATGCGCRCACACACACACACTATTTTCTTATATCATCTATGACATTTTTTATCTGTATACTTTTTTGATGTGATTGTTTTTAACATGCTAAAAAGTAATAAGTATTTTTTGTTTTGTGTCTTTTATGTGCATTTTTTTAATATGGCAAAAGTGCTGCATTCCTGATGCTTCTAAGGCTACTTTTCTAATTGAGTGATGTTGCCCAGTGTTCACCACATTAATTGTGTATGTTGCAGTTCTGTGTTTTATGTTTTATTAATTTCCAGTAAGACTGTATTTAGAATGACATCATCTTTCCCTTATTTAATGACATTACAATATTATTTCTAGTCTTCCCTCTTACCAAATGTAGCTATGTTCATTTTTTAAGCAGAATTTAATTTGAAATTATTTTGCCACTATACAGTTTTACTCTTTCAAATTTATTTTTTAATAAAAGTTAATGAAACGATGATAAAAAATGAAATAATATTGGCAAAGAGGGTCAAAATATTATGGAGATTGGTTTTTGTCTGTAATTGTATGCACATGGTATTTTGCCGTTCATTACTCTCTTTGTGACAGTTGTGCCCAAAATAATAAGAATTTTGGTATTGTTTTTATTTTTATTTATTTATTTATGTGTGTATTATATTTAGTTTGAGAAGTTAAAGAAACTAGATCCAGGACCTCAAAGGGTTTTAAAAATTTGAATTCCTTTTTTTWAATAGGATTATTTTAAAATGGACAGCTTCTTACTGCAGATTCGAAGTATAAATGATAGAACATTTTTTGAAAGCATGCAAAGAGCTTCCTTCAGTCCATAGGACATTTTTGGGAAAAAAAAGATGTAATTATTTTAACATTCCATTTAATTTTGAGGAGATTCTAACACTAAATTGTGTCTACTCAGTGTGACTTTAAGGTAGACTTGCATAGTTGTWATGGCCTCAAATTTCTTGGATCCTTTTATAATGTAAGCACAAAAACCATACCCAGTCAGTAGTTGGTTGAGATCTCTTTTCCTTTAACTTTTGTGATGAGAGAAAAACATGCCATGTCTACAAATACAGATTTATTCACAGAGGACCTCCAGCTTCCTCATCTGAAATCAGATTATTATTATTATACCTTTTAGAAACACACTTTTATTTTAGTATGCATTTGATGGTGTGCATGCATCTTAATCTTATTAATTAATGATTATGATTTGAGGATTTGGGTGTTTTTTGTTTGTTTGTTTTGTTTTTGCTTTAAATTGCCCTTTAGTAGATTTTAAATGTCTGTATATAAGGATAGTAATGCTTATTGGCCAAATAGAAGGGGTCAAACTTTACTTAKTGGTTGGTTGGTTGGTTTTTGCCACTGATCCACGCTCCCACATTCCCAGGGCTTTTCTTTTTTCTTTTGAAACAGGGTCTTGCTAAATTGCTGAGGCTCGCTTCAAACTTGTGATCCCCATGCCTCAGCCCCAAGTCACTGASATTATAGACGTGCGCCCCTGTGCCCAGCCAAACTTTACTTTTAAGATGACCCAAGCTTTTGAGAATAGGAGAAAGGAATCTCTGCAACATCTGTTGATACATTTTAGTTTCACAAGAACTTTAACTTATCCATAAATCTGACTGCCATCATCTTATAGGTGAGGCAACTGAGAAAGGAATAATTTCAGATTTCTTAAGAGTGGATTTTGACACTTGCTTCTCTTTAGAATTATCTGGTAAACTTTAAAATTTCTTTTCTGCTGGGATCCCATCCCAGACCACTAAAATCACACTATCTGGGTGGAATCCAGGCATCCGATAATACTTTTTTCCCCCTAAAACTTAAAAGTTTAATTATTAAGCTCTCTTTAAAAATCCCTCCAAAGATTCCCACTGTGAGCTCAAAAATTAGTAACAGATTAACAGTTTGTCTTTAGAAATTCTGACATCAGGAAAGTTAGGAGAAACTCCACCAGAAAGATTAAGATTGCCAGCCATCTTTGTAAATTCTGATGAACTGCTGCTGGTTATAGTGTGGATCACTTCACATGAAAGGCAGTATGACCTTGTAACAATCTCATTTGCTATTTCTAACAGTCCTTCAAAACAGAGAGAGCTTTATAAAGATTTCCATTTTCCTAAAYAACCTCTGACTCTCCCTTTCCTTAAATGACATGTTTTTAAAATCTCAGCTATTTGGAAGCCTGAGCACTGAGAAAACACTGACTAGTTAGCCCTTCATTGGAGCAGTCAACATTTTATTGAGCATCTTCAAAAGTACCAGGGAACTGTGCTGAGTTCATTCTTCAAGATGTGAGACAGGTTTGTAATATTTGTTTCTTCATTCAGTGTGGAGATGTCCACAAGCTTCAGGTGGACACAAAAGGCCAAGAATGACCCCTCTCAAAAAGCTTAGGAAGCCCTTAGGTGAAGGAGTTGCCTCAGCTGAGCCTAAAAGGATTAGAATAGTAGACAGGAGGCAGTGAGAAAGGGGAAATTCTGCAGAGATGAAGGCAAGTGCAGCTGCATGAGCTGCATGGTATGTGTGTGAGGTTTTGCCCCTTGGATGTGTTTGTGGCGTGAGGTGGCAAAGGAGGGAGAAGTCCCACAAAGAGACCAGATGTGGAGGCCCTCATGTGCTACTGAACCTGACCCTGGCGGGGTTTGCCATGCTTGTGTTTCCATTTCCTCTGGTCCTTGAGGCTGTGGAGGCTAGGCAGATGTGAGGGAGTGAGTCTGGAGCTGGTTAGGAAGACAGGAGGAGTCCTTTATCTCCAAGTGCTACAGAGCTTAAGGCCAGGGAAGAAGCTGCGAAGAAACGGTGATTAATTTGAGAACTGATTACTAAATGAAATTGGCAAGACTTGACAATGGAATGAAAGCAATCCTAATAATCCTAGTAAGAAAAATAGTTAACATTGAATGCATATTATGTGTCTGGCGCTGTGTTAAGTATTTAATGTGTGTCAGCTTATTTAATTCTCACAATAACTACGTTGTGTGTATTACTATAATTCCCAGTTCACAGATGAGAAAACTAACCACAAAGTTTAGGTAACTTTCCTCTAGTGACACAGCTGGTAAGTAATAGAGCCAGGACTTGAATCCCCAGCCTGTTTCCCTCCCTACCCCTGAACTGATATATAAGGAGGCATAACTTGCCTATCATAAAATTCACCCATTTCACTTTTATACTTAGAAGATTTTTTAGTAATGTGTCATTATCACAACTAATTTTAGAAAATTTTCATCACCTCAAAAAGATCTATTGTGCCTATTTGCAATTCAGGCCTGTTCTCATGCTCAGTGCTCAGGCAACTACTGATCACTTTCTGTCCTGATTTGCCCTTTCTGGATACTTTCTTGAAGTGAAATCAGACAATGGGGGTATTTTGCCTCTGGTTTCTTTTACTTAGCAATGTCTTTGAAGTTCATTCTTGTATCACGTATCAATAATTTGCCTTTTATTGTTGCATAGTATTCCATTGTGTAGCACTGACACCTTGTGCTTATTCATCAGTTGATAGACATTTGGATTATTTTCACATGTTGCTGTGACCATTTGTGTACACATTTTTATATGGACATTTGTTTTAACTTTTTTGAGAAACTTCCAGACTGTTTTCCAAAGCAGCTGTGCCATCTTGCATTTCTATCCACAATGGAGGCGGGTTTTGATTTCTTGTCAACACTTGTGATTATCTGAGTTTTAGTGAATGTGAAGTGATATCTCATGGCTTTGATGTGCATTTCCCTGATAGCTAATGATGTTAAGCATCTTTTCATGTGCTTATGGGCTAATTGTATATCTTCCCTGGTGAAATGTCTGTTYAAATATTTTGCTTTCTTTTTAATTGAGTTTTCTTATTATTGAATAATAAGAGTTCTTAATATATTCTGGATATAAGTTCTTAATAGATGTGATTTGCAAATATTTTCTCCCAGCCTGTGATTTGTCTTCCGTTTCTTACTGATGTCTTTAGAAATGAACATGTTTTTAATTTTAATGAAATCCAGTTTATTAGTTTCCTTGTATGAATTGTGCTCTTAGTGCTGTATATCTCTGCTTAACTTAAGGCCATAAAGATTTTTCTCCTGATGTATTCTGGAAGTTTCACAGTTTGGGCTCTTAAATTTAGGCTTCTGAGCCACTTTGAATTAGGTTTTTTTTGTTTGTTTTTTTTTTTTTTTTTTTTTTTTTTTTAGTGCAGGGTAAGAGATTAATTCCAGGGGATGGTCAGTGATCTCAGCACATACGTTAAAAAAGAGACTGAGCCCTTGCCGCATTGCACCTCTGTTAGAAGTTAATTGAACATATATGTAAGAATTTTTAAGCTCTGAATCATGAAGTGTACATGTTCCCYTTTTGTGTGTTTTCATGTGTGCAGGGATGGAGAAGTTAGCTGTTCTTACTAGGCTATTCTGAGTCCTTTGTATTTCTGTATAAATTTGAAGATCTGCTTATCAGTTTCTGCAAAAAAAGCTGCTGAAGTTTTGGGAGGGATAATTTTGTATCTATATATAAATTTAGAAAGATGATCATCTTAACAACATTGAGTCTTCCAATCTATAATCATAGATTCTGTCTCTCCATTTATTTTGAGTTTTTAAAATTTCTCTCACAGGGTTTTGTGAATTCAGTATACGTCTTGCACAACTTTTGCTAAAACAGTTCCCATTCTCTGGTGAATGGCTTTGCTCTGAAACAGCATGCTCTGCTGTTAGGAGAGAGGAAGATTGGTTTTTGTAGTTCACAGGTTGAGTGAAAATGGGGGTAGGGTGGCCACCATCTGGTGAAAAGAGTTGAGGAGAAAGAGCGGTTTAGATTTTAGTGCAAAAGCTACTTCTGACATGTAGAATTTGTGAATTGGAGATTG